TTATTCCTTTCCTTAGAAACGTTATTCACTAAATTTTAACTCAAGTTCGTCATTCAAGACCAGCTTGTACATTGATTCTACACCATTCTATTTTGCCCCGTAGGATGCAAGCCTGGCAGTGTTCCTCAGAATGCCACTGTGATTCGTGAGGCACCTCCCTATTAGACCAGAGAGCAGGCGAGCTTTGAGAAGACAGACTTCTCGTCCGAGAATATTCAGCTAAAAAGGAGGCGGCCTGAAAACAGCTAATTATCCATCAAAGAAATCATGTTCTAACTGATATGCTTGTTCTCAGCAAGCACAGTCCTCCACAGTGAGTCCGATAATTGGATAAAAAGACCTCAGAGGCTCTTGGGGGCTGGGATGAGAGATGAAAACACACTTTATGTGGATTTCTCTAATGTAATCACCAGTTACAGGGACGGCAAGGAACTTAACAAGCTCATTACAACCTCAGCGCCTGTGATCTCCCCACAAACTCCCGTAACAGCCAGAGGATAAAACTCCCTTAAAGCCCTCGCGGGGCCTTGGCCTCAGGCCGCAGGAGGCAGGATGAAAACCTGCCTCCATCAGCAGGCAGCTGGCATCTCCCGTTACCAGCTGCTGGGCCACATGGAAAATAAGCCAGGAGTCGGTTCAGACGTGTTCTTGGCCTAACAACCAGTATTTTCTTAATCTGGGCATGGAGAAAAGAATGCCAAACTCAGAGTTGGATAATCCTGTTTATCAACCTAATTTTTCCAGCTGTTCTGCTCTGCTTTCAGAATGACTGTCCTTTTTGTGATTTTTGAAAAAGCTCTGGTGAGGGTCTGCTTTGGGACAGGCTTGTCTGACCCACAGAGGCTGCCCACGGCATTGCAGAAGCCCCAGCCCCTGGTCTAGGAGATGTTGGCCATTCCTGGAGTGGGTACTTTTGGCTCTAGAAGTTCATCTCTTCCTCAGAGCAAGTGTTTGTTGTATGCGTGATCGACCTTCCTTGGTTCATGGGGATGCTTCCACAGCCTGGCCCAGTTCTTCTATAACTGGTCTATCAATAGATTATTTCTCAAAGCAATCTGCATTAGGGAGGGGAGGCAGGGCAGCAGCCACAGAGAATACAGCATGAATGGTGGTGCCCATAGTGGGCAACACTGCGACCCTGATTGAGGGTACCTGGAGGGGCAGGGCTGTTAAACGAGGCACTTAAAGAGGTCGGAGGACAGGGAGGCCGAGGGCAGGAAGGCAGCTCAGTCTATCCCAGACCAATTTTATTTGAGGCTCCACGGCAGCTACTCCTTTAAGAGAGTAAAGGACCTGAGTTCTATTCATATGGTATTAAGCAGAAACCCTAACCAGCTGAGAATCCTGTAAAATGTGACTCTAGCCACAACTCACACTTCAGGCCAGACACCTGCCATGTGTCCATGTAATAGCTCCCCCTACTCAAGGGAGCTCTGAAGTTCATGCAAAAGGTACACAAATTGGAAAGCTGAATCCTGGCTTTGTCACTGTAGGCATTCCTTGCTTGGTCCAATACATATATTCTCCACCAGTGTCTGGTAGATCAAATTTTTATGTGATGCCATATTTCAAATTTATGATGTGAATCCACTATCAAACAAAGAATTATTCCCAAATTTATCTGCTTGGTAAAATTTAATTTTCATTTATTTGATTTCCTTAAAGGGATACAAAAAACAACTAGAATTACAGACATGGAAACAGCAAGATCAACAGGAAAAGCTATCCTACCTACCATACTCTTAGATAAGATCCAGAGAAACAGAAATTGCCATCCCTACTGAAATAATTTTGGAAAATTCTTAAAGAGACAAGAATACCAGACCACTTTACCTGCCTCCTAAGAAACCTGTATGCAGGTCAGGAAACAACAGTTAGAACCTTACATGGAACCTTACATGGAACAACTGACTGGTTCAAAATCAGGAAAGGAGTATGACAAGGCTGTATACTGTCACCTTGCTTATTTAACTTATATGTAGAGTACTTCATGTGAAATGCCAGGTGGATAAATCACAAGCTAGAATCAAGATTGCCAGGAGGAATATCAAGAACCTCATATATGCAGATGACACCATCCTAACAGCAGAAAGCGAAGAGGAACTAAAGAGCCTCTTGATGAGGTGAAAGAGGAGAGAGAAAAAAACTGGCTTAAAGCTCAACATTCAAAAAACTGAGATCACGGCATCCGGTCTCATCACTTCATGGCAAAGAGAAGAGAAAAAAGTGGAAGCAGTGACCGATTTTATTTTCATGGGCTCCAAAATTACAGTGGATGGTGACTGCAGCCATGAGATTAAATAACGCTTGCTCCTTTGGAAGAAAAGCTATGACAAACCTAGACAGCATATTTAAAAGTAGAGACATCACTTTGCTGACAAAGGTCCGTATAGTCAAAGCTATGGTTTTTCCAGTAGTCATGTATGAATGTGAGAGCTGGACTATAAAGAAGGCCAAGTGTTAAAGAATTGATGTTTTTGAATTGTGGTGTTGGAGAAGACTCTTGAGAGTCCCTTGGACTGCAAGGACATCCAACCAGTCAATCCTAAAGGAAATCAACCCTGAGTATTCACTGAATGGACTGATGCTGAAGCTGAAGTTCCATTACTTTGGCCACCTGATGCAAAGAGCTGACTCACTGGAAAAGACACTGATGCTGGAGAAGATTGAAGGCAAAAGTAGAAGAGGGTGGCAGAGATGGTTAGACAGCATCATCAACATAATGGACATGAATTTGAGCAAACTCAGGGAGATAGCAAAAGACAGGGAAGCCTGATGTGCTGCAGTCCATGGGGTCACAGAGTCAGACACGACTTAGCAACTTATTGACCACCACAAACAACTGAAATAATAGTCTTGGAAAAGCTAAGACTTTAGACCACACCTGCTATTGATATCATAACGTAAAGAAGTTTAGAGACCTTTGTTTGAAAGGAGACTTTGATTTAAAGCGGAGGGGACAGAAAAGTCATGAGGTTACAGTTTCAGCAAAAATGAGAAGATGAGGTCACCAAGGGTAAACTGTGTCAGCTTCCCAGTTTCACTTGGGGTTCAGATATGACTTGAGTCTCTCATTTCTGTTTTGCGAAATGGGAGTGGTGATGGAAGAAAGGGAAGAATTATTCTAGGATGGGGTTACTGTCAAGACCAACCTAATCAAAACCACTACAAAGCATATGTAGACTAGAGAAGAAACACTAAAAATTTAACAACGGCATGAGAAATTCAGACAAGATACTCTCTCAGTTCTTTAACATTTTCACATAGTAAGATTCTGAGCCAAGTTTACCATAAATGCTCCTTCCTTAAACAAGATATAAAAGATGGTGGTGTGGGAGCTAAAAGAAGACCAAAGCTAAAGAGAAGTATTGTGTTCTATAACTCCTGAACAGAGACCTGGTTTTTAATGGGGTGGCTTTGGCATTTCCACAGTGCACAGAACAGCTAAAGAATATTCACTTTGCACCCGTGGGTCTGTTTCTCATGATGCCAAGTTGGGTCCATAGTAATCCGCTCAGACTTGTCCTCCTCGGCACTCCTACATTTCTGAATCAGTAGGTGCACTAATGCATTCTGAGTCCTGCTGTGATGTAATTAAGGATAATGTTTGCAGCAAGGAGTACAGAGAGTTGTAAATGTCTCCCATGGGTGATTAAATGCTGAGGGGAAGTTGAACACAATGAATACAATTCATTTGGTGCAAGTTTACTCCAATGCCAGGAGCATTCTGTTTTCCAGTTATAGGATAGGTTTCTAAAAAGATACACACAGCATCCATAGCAAACATTTTCATGTCCTCATCTCCCTCTAGGGAATGGAGAACAGAAAACTACTGCATCCCAGGAATGTTTATTTATCTAGGAGGGAGACTTGGGAATCAGAACTCTTTTACACTGCGGGCATGACTGCTAACTGACAGAACTTTGGAAACAATCGATGGTGTAAATAAAACTGAAGCTATATACTACTGTGATCCAATAATTTCACTTCTAGGCACATTGCTTAGGGAAGTTTTCATATACGTGCACAGAGACACAAAGACAAAAATTCTCACTGCACAGTGTTTTAAGAGCCCAACACTGACAAAAAAATCAATACAAAAATAGGAAATAGATAAAAATATGGCCACTTTACAGAAAGGAACACTATTTAGTAGTTTAAAAGAATGACAAAACAAAAACACAGAAAACACACAAAACTCCGAAATGTCATTTCTAGTGGAGAAAATGTGCTTAATGTAATATTCTTCTCTTCATTAAAAAAATCTTCTCAAAATAAAAGTACATGAGCAGCAATACTTTTGGCAGATGGATGCTGACAAGCTCCCTCTGAGACCCCATATGAAGGACCTCCAAGAAACAGAAGCAACCTAACCTTTTGGACCTTTACTGTCTTAGCTCCATGCTATCCAATATGGTAGCCACTAGCCACATGTAGCTACTTGAATTTGAATTCAAATTAATTAAAGTTAAATAAAATGATAATTTTAGTTCCTACACTGCAGTAGGTACATGTCAAATGCTGAAGAACCACATGTGGCTAGTGGCTACCATATTGAACATGTCTATCAGCACACATATAGAACATGTCTATCATTCCTCTAAATTCTATTGACAGAGCAGATCTTGAGCTAAAAACCTGTCTTTCAGACAACTTGAACTCTTTTAGTCATTGCTCTTTCCCCAATCTGTCCTTCTGCCCATAGGAAAACCAAGGTAATGACTTAGGAGGATTTTTTTGTTTGTTTCTAGAAGGAATATGTCCACTATAATTCTATATTTCAATTATGACTTAAGTAACTTTTCTTGTGGGAAAAAAAAGAAACTGAGATAAATCATCTTTAGAAAGCGATCCAGCCATTATCTATAATTTTGTAAGCATCTTATTTCATTTCCCCAAAACTTAGCAAGGAGGAAAATAGGTCAAAGAAAGATGAAAGTGTTACCAAACAAGACTCAAAATTTTAGTTCAATGGATTTCCAAGAGACTTTATTTCTTACCTGTACACAGTATGAGGGACATATACTTCTCGGATTGGAAATTCCAGTATCTCTTTGTGTGGGCGTCCCCGGTTCTCAGGAAAGGGCCTCACTGGCAGCATCTCAGGAGTCAGACAGCAATTGATGGTCTCTGGAGCCAGAGCTATCTCCAGTCTGAGCAAGCCTAAATTTGGGAAGAAAACAGGCCTGTCTTAGCAAAGACGTCATATACAAAGGATCAAGAAAGACTGCTATACTATATTTCTTTTATGAAAATGAGGATAAGTTGTACAAGTATGAGAATTTTGGAATGCTTAAATAATTTCCTATAGTTTGAGAAAAAGCATGTCATGACGATTTTTGAGATTTGGCTTCTAGAACTTAAAAAAAGCAAGAAATTGTAAAAATAAGTAAGAACATTAGAGGATCTTTAAAGTCCCTTCTAGAACTACCATACCATAAGTGCATAGTTCAGTAATTTCTCTTCATCACAAGCACTAGAAATTGGTGATTTTCACAGTGGGTTCCCTGGTATCCCCTGGGAGCTGCAGAAGTGCCTCCGGGGCTGTTAGGCTGAGAATAAGGAGGGTGCAGCCTCACCTTCCACCAAAGCATTTCACTGCTTTCTTATGCTAAGGGTTCCATACAATATGATAAAAGAGGCTTCTCTGTTCACACAATTATCTGATTTTCCGAGTGAGCAATCAAATATAAAGCATGATGTTTATTTACGGAAACATCCCTTTAATAAAACAGAAAGCATTAACAGATTTGCCCCCAGAACTATACCTTAATGCCTAATGCAAAATCCTGTATTTCACTAACAGAAAAACTGCAGCATTACATGAACGAAGCGCCTAGTCCCAGATAGCTATGGCATAGCAGAGAGGATAAGGACAAGCCATTCACACCTGGAATTGACTTGACTCTTCTCTGTAGGGATGAAGATCTTTTGTAGTCAGCTAAAAACTTGAATAAGTCTTCATCACTGAGGCGATCTCCCTCCTGCCAAGAGAGAAGTCAGGCTTAGTGTAGATGCATCACAGACTCCTGGGGTTGGGACCAAGGATTTCTCAGAAAATTTTTATTTTTAAGTTTTATTCTAACATGTCTTTCATAGATAGGAGGCAACTCTGAAATCATTAGTCATCCTCTTGTCAAATATTATTTCTCTACTGCTCCCAACTCACTCGGGCTCTTCAGTCGTCCTGGGGACCGGTCTTTGACTGCATTTCTGAGGACCCACTGGGGATCTAGACCAAAAACTCCTCCCCATATAACTCAACCCACTGATACTTGTTTACTCCCTGGAACAAAACAGAATTAGTTTATATCTTTCTTCAAAGATCTGAAGATGGAGAGAGCATCTTTCTATCTTTTTCCTCATGTTTTTCATATATCAAATAGCCTCATATTTTTCCCCTTTGTTTTGGCTAAGAAAGCTAACCATAAACACTACCCTCCATGTGCCTGCACGGGACAGGCATGCCGCCAAGGGATATATGTGCCCAAGTTCCGATCCTTACAGCAGCCCAGTGAGGAAGGTAGGTAGGTAGGTGTGTCCTGTTCCTAAGTACAGATGAGAAAACTCTGACTTAGTTATGTCAAGTACCTTGCCCCCCAAGGCAACACAATTGTGAATATTCCCCCAATAGCAATCCTTTCAGTTCCCTGTGAGCTCTATCATGAGGCATGGCATACAGAAACCTCAGTGTTTCTTCTGCATTTCAGTTAACATAACCCCTTGTTTACATAACCCCTTGTTTACATAACCCCTTGACATGTCCTATGAGAACTGCTTGCGCTTCGGAACATTTTTCAAAACAGAGTCAAACTAAGTATAAGTCAAGTTGTGTTTTGGGTACTAAAATACATATCAAGTAAAATTTACCATTTTTGAGTGCAAACAATCTCCAGAATACTTGGAGTTTGGAAAACTGAAACTCTATCCCTATTAAACAACTTCCCATTTCCCCCTTCCTGTAGCCCCTAGTCACCCTTATTCTGCTTTCTGTCATTCCACTTTCTATCTCTATGAATTTGATGACACTAGGAAGTTCTTCATTCTTTAAGCAGTCTCAAAAGTTTCTGAGCTAACAAAGAACACCATCTATAATGGTCATACTCAGTGAGGAAGTAGGCATGTGGAGAAAGCCCGCACTTGGGAAAAGGGGTGAGACGGACAACTTCCGGGCCAAGAAACCCTGAACCAAAAGGGAAATGGATATTTTAGTCAGACTGTTTTCATAGCCTAATAAATGAATTGACCGTGACAGTTCAAATGAGATAGTTTGTATTAATGGGAACCAATCTTTCTCTTAATTAAAACAGCTAACTTTTGTTTGGCACTTGCTATATCCCAGGCACTCTGGGAAGCACTTTACACGTCTCATCTCCTCTCAACCCCCAACAGCCACAAGAAGCAAGTGCCGTCAGCCCTGTCTTACAGATGATTAGTGAGGATGACTAACTCGTCCTCTTAGTCACTATATGTACTATTGCTTTGGGCTCCTGCCCTCATGCCATTATGGAGAGACCATTCCAGACACATTGTAACATGAAGGGATACCTGCTTGAAAAAGCTGGTAACGGTTAAAGTCCTGAAGTTGGATCCAACCCCATTTTCCTCCAAGGAGAAGGCTCTTTCAGAAAGTCTTCGAGATTGGGACAAAGTTCTTCGCTCACCCGCAGAGGCTTTCCCTTTAAGGAAAACACTTGTCATTCAAAAGTTTGCCTTCCTGTTTGAATACAGAACAGTTATTAATTTTACCATATCTAAAGTGTGTTGACACTCATTGATTGACAACACTGAACATGGCCATTCTTGCTTTGAATAACGGTTTCCCTCTCCTTGTCCTGGTTCTTAGACCCTACCCCCCACCTCCTCTGTGCAGCCCCTAATCTTCCTCTGATCATAGTGAGAGCCCAGGAGCTACTGCAGTGCCCTCCCAGGTGGAGATCAGGGTAGCTAGAGTCCGGAACTGCAGCCAGAACAGGGTCTGGCTAAATAATAAGCTTTATTTAGTCAACAGTGTTTAGTTCTGTTTTATTTTTATATTTACATTCCTTTGGGAGAGGTGTGTACTCCAATGCCCCTGAAGGCATTTGGGATTGTGACCCAAACACACTACTTAAGCCTAAGAACATTCTGGATCTGAGCTTTCTTCTGCTCTTGCTGTGTGGACCAGGCAGCAGAAATGAGTTTCTGCCTTGGCTGACCTGCCTAATGGTAATTAGAATGGAGTCACACCCAAATCTGAACTCTTTGACAGTCTGCTTGATTATTTTTCACTCACTTTGGAGATTTAGGTGAAGATCGTGTTGCTTTCACACTCCAAAACTCAGGGGTTCTGTTGTGAATGGTCAAAGTGCTTAGAACTGTAATGATCCAACCCTGTCTTTGAACATTCTCTTACCCTTAATTCTTGTCATGATGCTGAATTGGAGCTTCCTGCTACCACTGAGCCCCCTAAACTTGCCACACTGCTCAAGATAACACACAGCATCTTTGGTTGCTTCTTAAGAATCAGTCTCTGTAGTCAGGTTAATTTCTCCTTGCTTGGGAATGACTGAGGATCCAGCAAGCTCTGTGCCTTAACTATCTAGTTGAAAGGTGTCCTTTTCTACGCAGAACTCTTTTGAATAAGGCTACCTTGGTCTACAGAAAGTGGCATTAAAAAAAAAACAAACCTATATATATTGTCATGTGAAGATCAGGATGGATAAAAATGGAGCTTGTTTTTGAAATAACCCAGGAGTTTTGACTGGTAATTATGCATCAATAACTCCAGGACAGCAGCAATACAATACCTTTTCCTCCACTCCTCTGCTAAAGGCAACATTTCAGAAGTGGCAGCACTAAGGGGATGCATGAGAAATGTCCCAAGAAATGTGAGTGGAGACATAAATGTTTGCTAGATACAAAGACATTTTAAAAAACAGGAACTCTGCCATAGGTGAGGGGAGATATGCTTGAGAACTCTGTAACCCTTTTCAATAGTTCCAAACCCAAACTGTTGAGGAAGCTCATAATTCAGATGAATGAAATGTAATGAAAAAGAGAAATATGCTAAATGAATCAGAACAGTAACTAAATACTATTTTGGCAACCACTTTTTTTCATTGCTCTTGGCAAAACAAACTTTAAGGAACTAAAATTTTATTGAAAAAAACGAGTTTTGCTTTTAGAAGCCCTTTCTCTTATATTTAGGAGCCAATTACAGTACCTTTGTTTAACACACTATAGACTATATTATTATATTTTCTTGTTATTTTCAACAATTTTCTTTTGAGAAGTAAATTAGCTTTTTAAAGCGTCTAACTGTACAGAAAATTCCAACCAAAAATCTTACTATATTTCAACTCCACAAAGTTATGATAATCGTCTTGGGGATCACTGCCCAATCAAGCATTTGTATTCCAGTTCTAATTGTGTTTCACCCTATTCACTTGCTTCTCCCTACCCACTCCCCCACCTTACTGCACCCCTACTCCCACCAATCAGCAGCTGATCTCAGGGCTTGTACACTGGGGAGCCCTGCCCTTCACACACAGTTGAAAAGCTTACCAACCATGGACTCCACATCGGTTACCTCCCTGTCCAGGGTAGAGACATTGAAGAAACTTGCTAAGCTTATGGGAGCCCAAGCAAAGGGCATCCGGTATTTCCCCAAACGCTGGCAGAAGGATTCAGCTTGAAGTTTTAGTTTTTCAATCTTTTCTTTACTCTAGCAGAAAATGGAAAGAGACAGCAGAAACAAACCATAAGACATTAGCACCAGGTCAACTGCCTCTGCCATGGATCAGACAGCCATCTCCAAAATGCCCAGTGTACTGATTAAAAGGAGTGAATAGGCAGAAAAGTAACACAACTGAGGCCAGAAGTGCAACTGATAAGGAAACAATAACAGAAAAGGGGGGATCTAAAGAAAGTTAAAGGCTGCATTAATTATTAAATACATCTTCAGCTAAAAAAACAAAAAACTCCCCAAAGACTTGGGCTTGTTACACTAGCTAATCAATAAATACCTCTCTGAGGGGTTAGCTACATTGGATTCATATAAAGGAATTTTGGGATGAAAAGTTCTGTGCATCACCTCTCTTAAGCCCTTAAGAGAGCCTTGTTTTCCAAAGATGCCTTGGAAGATTCCAGAGACATCTAAAAGGGTTTCTTACAACTTCCTTATTAGGTTGACAACACCTTTAAGGTATTCATTCTAATTTCAGATTTTAAAAAAAGTATCTTGAGTTCAATAAATCTTAGCTTGAATCTTACTTATGACTCTGCAGTAGGATACTATTGAAAGTGAAAAAAAAAGTGAAATTGTTAGTGACTCAGTCATGTCTGACTCTTTGCAACCCCATGAACTATAACCTGGCAGGCTCTTCTTTTCATGGGATTCTCCAGGCAAGAATACTGGAATGGGTAGCCATTCCTTTTCCCAGGGGACCTTCCTGCCCCAGGGACTGAATCTGGGTCTGCTGCATTGCAGATAGATTCTTTACTGTCTGAGCAGGGATGCTGTCAAGCAAGTCTTATTTCCCAAAAGGCCATATTTTAAAAACTATATTAGAAACTTTGGGAAATGGGTACTGAGAAGAGATGTTGTACTAATAAATTTCTGATGTATGGCAGTCTCAAGATAATTTTTAAATATTCATACCAGAAAGGGCAATGGCCCATGCTGTAATAAGGCTAAGAGAGTCAGGCAGTGTACAGTTTCGGGGTGTCTGTGGCCCTCTCAACCAACTGAGTTGGAGCCTCAGAACCAAGGCAACAGGAAGTGTCTTTGCTCTAGTCAAGTTCTGTAACTAGACATTGGTGTGTCCATCATCACATGTCGACTTTGTTGAGTGTAATAATTTACTCCTTTAAAAAGTTATCATCATTGATCATTTTCCCTTCCTTATTTTGTTTTAATATAATTGACTAGTGCTTCATATAGGGACACATTATGGACTAAACTCCATTAACTATTTTGTGGAAGACTTTTGAAAGATATCTGCTTATTCTAAAATGCTACCAATTAGCAACAGTCAAAATAGCATACCTTTCCGCCATCACTTTCTTTGATAACCATGTAGGGTTCTGCACAGTCTCCAATCTCTCCCTGCTGAAGAACTTTTTCAATCTGCCACAAAAATAATATTGAAACAAAGTTCATGAATTAATCCATACAATGGAATCCATGCAACTATCAAAATAGTTCTTTATGACAGTATCTAATGACATCAAAAGATGTCCACAATATATGTTTTTGATTTAAAACATTAGTATGAAGAGTATTATACAGTTTTATAAAAAAGAAAATCATAAAGGCGTATAAAAGGGATTAGATTAGATACACAGCAAATGTTAACAGTAGTTATCTTTGTATGGTGGGATTATGTACTATATTTTCTTCCTATTGCTTATGTGTATTCTCTGTTTTTAAACAATAAACATGTATTATGCCTACAATAAAAAATGCAATAAAAGTTATTTTATAATACAAAACCCATAAGACATATGTAGGAAGTGAATAGCTCATTTTCTTTATTATTGCTTACAATGTAAAAAAGAGATATGACCTCTGTAAAAGTCAGGTTGGGAACTAAAACCTTCCACAAAATGAATAAATGAACCGAATAAATTATCTGTAATCATTTCCTTTGTATTTCCTATTAGGGCTGCTTCTCTGGATTTAACAGACTTGGAGAGGAACTCGAAAGCAGGAGGATGGTGCAGCTTTTCACTTTGCTAACTGGCTGGTAACATGAATGGATGCTACTACCGTCGAGCATTTTCTTGCAACTACCTTAAGATGGCCACAAATCTGGGCACCATGTTTGAAAGAAAGAAAAGCAGAAATTTAAAATTGCCTAATTCTCTGCTCAAGAAAATTTAACTTAGATGTGCAAGTAAAACCAAGTGGGTTTAGTCCCATTTGTCTGTATCTTTAGTTGAGACAATCCTTGATGAAGAAACTTAGGTCAATATATCCTAAAAGGCACACATTCTTAACAGGCATTGTCAGTTAGGTACAAAGTATTTAAACCAGAAATATCCTGTTTGATGGAGGGGTGTTTCGTGGAGTTTTAAAGGAAGCAGCATGGGGCTTCTCAGTGAACATCTGTGTCAAGAAGACTGCAAGCAAGAAGGGGCTTCTCAGTGAACATCTGTGTCAGGAAGACTGCAAGCAAGAAGTCTCTCTTCTCAAAGAAGAACATAAAATCCCCTTCCCATTGCCATAGCCTGAAGACAAGGCTGATCCTCCTGAGAGATGTGCCAGGCTGAGACCACGGACATTTAACACGTGAGGTAAAGGCTGACCCGTGTTCCTACTAGTCAGCGATCATTCACCTATCATTCAAATAAATATTTGCTGAGCCCCTTCTACAGGGTAACTGTTAGGGAGACAAGGTGGTGAACGTGATAGACCTGAGCCCTATTCTCCTGAAGTTCATGGTCAGCAGCTTATAAAGAAAATTAGAAAGAAAGAAGTTAATTTTTCCACACAGTCAAGGAATTAAAATGCGGTCTTTAAAATGAACTTTGAACAGAGATAAAGAATCTTTTAACTAGGACACCGAAGCAAAAGAACTGGAATGCTATGACTTCATATGTATTGTGTGGCACAAGAGAGGGGTCTCCAGAATTTGGAAGCAGGAGAATCCACATTTGACCAGACCAGCAGACAATATTCCCTTCACCGAGTTGGGCAAGGCTAACTCCAGGTACTTCATGAGTCAAAGCCGCAGGCTGCTAGGACAGGTTACTATATGGTCCTTCATGACTGATACGTAAAAGAGATGCATGAGTCCGCATTACCATGGCAGGTAGGCGATGGGGCATATCAGAATTGCCTGGGGATTTACTGGAGGTAAAGAGGCTACCCTCAGCCCTATTTAGAGGGAAAGAAGCAACAACCCTGCTTTACTGTAAAGAAAAACAAATCAGAAGAAAACCAGAGACTCTTATTGGGCAGATTTAAATTTCTTAACTTCTACCCAGACAATTTAGAGAATGCTTATCACTGCCAAATGAATACATTTATGCATTGGAAAATTTTGGAATACATTTAGTAAGTAATAGTCACTCACAGGTAACCACTGATATATAGCATACTACCTACCAGGGGTTAGCCAAAATAAAGTCATCCACTGAGAAGTGGAGTTGGAAGTAAAATTTGGATCTATAGAACTAGTGTTGGCTTCTTTGATTTCTCAGGCTGGAGAGAATTTACAAATTAACTCCAAGTTGAAAGGCTGCTAGAATGCACTTTAAGCTAATTTTCCTGTATGTCTAAGTAATACTGCAATGAAAAGTATACATATTAAATTTAATAACAACATATGTGTCTTTTCAGCAACAGAATTTTAACTGTAGTTTCCAAAAACTTACACAAGTTCCCTTCAAACTATAATGACCTTCAGAATCTTTGCACAATGCTGTAAAGGGAGTAAGAAGGGAAATATATCTGTCACTTAAGTGACTTCCATATCACCTGAACTTTTTGGAATCTGTATGCTACTCCCAAGGGATCAAGGAGGAATCAATGAGATTATGTACACAAAACACTGTGCTAACTAGAAAATGTCCCAAACCTAGAATGCTGCGTGTACATGAAATCAAAACATCTGAACTTTTTTTAAATTTGAGGGTAAAAAGTCAGTGATTAACAACATATGTGTCTTTTCAGCAACAGAATTTTAACTGTAGTTTCCAAAAACTTACACAAGTTCCCTTCAAACTATAATGACCTTCAGAATCTGCACAATGCTGTAAAGGGAGTAAGAAGGGAAATATATCTGTCACTTAAGTGGCTTCCATATCACCTGAACTTTTTGGAATCTGTATGCTACTCCCATGGGATCAAGGAGGAATCAATGAGATTATGTACACAAAACACTGCTAACTAGAAAATGTCCCAAACCTAGAATGCTGCGTGTACATGAAATCAAAACATCTGAACTTTTTTTAAATTTGAGGGTAAAAAGTCAGTGAGATGAATTATTTGGCTTAAGGCAGGTAAAATACTCAATGTTTGCCATTTACTTCTAACCAGCCATTTTGGAGTGTAGAGAAAGTCTCTGGTTTTCTTACATTGGTAAAGAGTACAACCTAGAATAAAAGGTCCTTCCACTTAGAACTGCCTACAACGGTGATAAAAAAAAATAGAGAGTGAAACCTGGAAACTAAAACCCACATCTCAAACTGTCAGAGCCTAGATATGTGCAGACATTTAACTCTGGGTCTTTAGAAAATCATGAACGTAATTAGGAGACTCTATCCAAGATTTTCTCCACAGCAGCCTCCCAGAGCTGGATAGCCGATGGGATTTTCCTTGTTAGGAGGAAGGGTGCTCATCCATACCAGGCTTTATTCTGTAGTCACATCTACTCATTGAGGGAGGTGTTATTATCTGCACTTAACAGATGAGGAAACGAAGTCTCAGAAAGGTTAGGTAATTGCCCAAAGTCATATAGGTGCTAAGTTGCAAAGCCAGGACTGAAACCTGGGACTGTATAACTTCAAAACATAGTCATTCTAGTATCCAACACAGTTTGCTTGAAAAGGAAAAGGAGAACAGTTGAGAGGGAAACAAAGTGAATCTCCCAGAGGACATGTAGTACTTTCTGACACCTCTTTCACCCTAAACAGGCACTGGGACTAATGCAACAATGAGAACATCAGAATGTGCAAAACAAGATCTACCTTAGCTACTAGGTAGATGTCCGAGGATGGGTAGGTGACCGAGAACACCGCAGATCTTGCCTGACTGGATGTGGCAACAGAGGGTGTGTGAGCACGCAGAAATCCTTTAAACTGGTCAGAGTTCAGGTCACAGTGAAAATTTTCTGAGATCTGTAAACGAGTGGCAAAATGAAAAAAGTGAGTTACAGTTGTTCTCATGGTCTAAACATGTTTAAAAAAAAAGAGAGTGAAAAAGCCCCACCAAATTTCATGAGAGAAGTAAGTGTAATCATAGACATGGTTTACGATCAGTGCTTGCTGGAAAATCTGATATATATTTTGCCAAAGTCTCTAGGTATTTTTGAGTCATTTGAGAGATGTTCTTTGAAACATTAAAATTTTTATTATCCCACCAATATCTCCTGAATACAGTGATGTGCCAAGTACTGCACTGAAGAAGAACAGGGCATTACTTGGGCTCCCAATTAGCTTACAGTCAAGAAGGAGCGAAAAGGCAAATATGTACTAACTACAGTAGAAGCAAAATATAAGTGACCACATTCATAGGAAAAAGCATTGTGCAAGTTCCCGAGGGTGAGAGGTCATATCCCGTGGGGCGGATGGGGGATGCTTTCCAAGGGGGAGGTGAGTGAGATGGACAGGCCTTGCAAGAAGATTCCACCAGGCAGAGCTGGAGGGTGACAGGTGCCAGGGAGAGAGCATAGCACAGATGTCTCAGCAGCTGGAAAACCTGCAGTGACTTTAGTTAATGCTGAGAAATCCAGCTTGACTCTGCCGAGGCTCTCAAGGGAAAGAAAGCAGATGACAGCCATACTGAAGAAAGCCAGGTGTGGAAGGTGAAGAGTTTGTTGTTAATGTTTCAGGTAGTGAGGCTCTGTTCAAGATTTTGAGCAAGACTGTGACATGATGAGAGCTCCACGGATGGAGCACTCTTGTCGCATGAGTGGTCCATATAGTGTAGTGTGACTTAAGAACCCTTGCAGAGTTGGTTCTCCTTTCACCACTAATAGATTTACAGCCAAGAAGAGGCTCCCAGGCAGAGACTGCATTTACCAGCTCCCTTTCAGTTAAGAGTAAGTGTGTGTGTGTGTGTGTGTGTGTGTGCATGCGCGCGTGCATGTGCACGCACATGCACTCACTTGTGTCTGACTCTTTGCGACCCCATGGACTGTAACCCATCAGGTTCCCCTGTCCATGAGATTTCCCAGGCAAGAATACTGGAGCAGGTTGTCATTTCTTACTCCAGGGGATCTTCCTGACCAAGGGATCAAACTCACGTCTCTTGTATCTCCTGCACTGGTAGGTGGATTCTTTACCACTGCGCCACCTGGGAAGCCTGTAACTAGATTCTCTCCAATGAACTGTGAGCAGGAGCAGAGATGGGTCAAACTTCTGGGATTCAGTTCTACCCACCTCCACCGTCTGCTATCTATTCCCCTTTTCTGGGAGCTGCAGTGGCAGTGACAAGAATGACTTGGGAGACCACATACCAAAGATGCCAGCTTGGGTTCCTGGATGACTGAGTGGAGCAAACCACTGTTGACCCTGCGCCCCTGCCCCTACCCTGGACTGTTAGTTATTTACTTGGCAGCGTTGGGTCTAAGATGCGGTACACTGGATCTTTGTTGCACCAAGTGAGATCTTCCCTCGTGATGCGCAGCGGTGGGGGGGTTTGGTGCTCTGGGGCAACTGAGACCTTGGTTACCCAGTCAGTAATCAAACCTGAGTCCGCTACACTTCAAGGTGGATTCTTAACTACTGGACCACCAGGAAAATCCCTAGATTGTTAAGAAACAAACAACAGAAAGTTCTTCTTCCTTAAGCCACAAGTTCTCCATATGTGGTCCCCTGACCAACAGCTTCAGCATCACCTGGGGACCTGTTAGAAATGTAAGTTCTCAGGCCCCACCAGATTTACTGCATAAGAAACTCTGGCCTTGGGCCCAGCAACTGTTTTAACAAGCCCTCCAGGCGATTCTGATGCCTGTGCAAATTTGAGAACTACAGTTTTAAACCACTGAATGTGTGTGTGTGTTTGTGGTGGGGTCTCCTGTTTTAGCATTAAACCTATCCTGGCTAATACAAATCTTCATGATTATTAATATTTATTTAAAAAATACACACTTCCTTAAATACTGAGTGGTTATAGTATTTGAGCAAGAGGGCAGAAGTTTCTCCCCAGGTTTTGCTATTTCTGTCCTTCTTTAGGAGTTACAAAATGACTAAACATTAAAACACGCATGGAAAAGTCTTTTCAATTAAAAGCACGTTATACTTGGTAAGGACTCTACCCAACGACAAATTTAGACTTTTATTGCACAAGATGCCTTCCATTCACAATAAAATGGAAAAACTCCCGAACTCAGGAAACATTACATGCATTGAGCTTGTTAGAGCCATGTTTAAATTGCTTTGTTTTATGTGTAACCCCATATGTCACTATATCAGTTCTCTGTCTCAGCCAGGCTATCAACTTTTCCTTTAAGATTCTTCAAAGAACATAAATGACAAACATTCCCAAGTTACTTCTTTAAAAACTGAAAAGGCAACAGAACTGGACATGTCAAAGGTCATTTGCTTTCAAATCTAATGTGTTTTTACTGCATAGAAATGATATTTAAAAACAGGAGCCCAAAGATTCCATGAACAATACACAATGCCCTCAGGGCTGAGTTATTTTTGCTTACTTACCTTTTTCCTTTCTTTAACATCATAGAGGGCAATGCTGGCAAACAGAGGCTCAATTTCTATCTCAAACCTGTCAGAGAAAGAGAGAAAAGTCTATATGGATTTAACTTTGATAATTTTGAAATTTCTGAAAATGCATCTTCGTAATCTGATTAAAAATGTAAGTAGTTTCCAGAAGTATTTGGGTAGCTCCACGCATATGAGAATCATATGAGAATATTAACAGAGCAGTATGAGAGGTTCATAGAAAATTCCCAGCCATTTGAGATCATGAAAGTGCTTGCTGGTGGCCCTGCAGCAGAGAGCATGTGGAACAGATCCTCCATCTGATCCTACATGGCACTTCTCACTGTTGTAGCTGCTGGGTTTTCCAAGGATTGAGTCTGTCTTAGCTAAAGGTTTTGTTTACAGTTTACATTTTACTGCCAGAATAGGTAGCTCTTATTATTCAATTTTAAGGGCTGCGGCTTTCAGCCCGTACAAAAAGAAAAGCTGAGTTGCCTTTCTTTAGATTTATAGTGGGACAGCCAGAAGGAAATAAGGTTATGATGTGTGTGAGTGTCTGGTCCTTCCACTGCCAGGGGAGCTTTTGAAGTGAGGTGGAGGGAGGGAACTGAGCATAGCTGATCAACACTGAGGTGTGAGGATCCAACGAGAGCTAGAAAGAGCAGCTCTCACATTGACCCTAATTGCCAATTCCCCCAGAAATGGTGGGCCGAAGACAAGAGAAGGCAACCCCAAGGACAATCCTGCTTGCTATAGGATGCACATGGAACAGACATGCACTTTCTAAATGTTTCGGGTTGACATATAGGGATTCCCTGGTGGCTCAGTCGGTAAAGCATCTGCCTGCAATGCGGGAAACCCAGGGTCGATCCCTGGGGAAGATCCCCTAGAGGAGGAAATGGTAACCCACTCCAGTACTCTTGCCTAGAAAATCCCATGGATGGAGGAGCCTGGTGGGCTACGGTCCATGGGGTCGCAAAGAGTCAGACATGACTGAGCGACTTCACTTCACTAACAACCTATGACATTGCCAGCTGAGAGCCCTAGTAACCAGGCCCTGGACCACTGTCACTGCAGAAGTCATGCAAATTAGGTCAAATCCTGTTTTCAACTGTGTGTGAGAGAATGGATTTATCACAGCTTTGTCTAAGAAGAGAATTTTTTAAAGAATATGTGGACAGAGGTAACCAGACAAAGGAGTTGGTCAAATGACACCTTTGGAAATGAGACAGTGGGCATGATGGAAGAGTCACAGACACTGAGTCAGAAAGACCCGGGCTCTGCTCCCTCTTCCAGTCTGGCTAATTCTGGAATCTTCACTGGGTTACTGACTTTCCCCAGGTCCACTTATTTGTAAAATGAGGAAAGGATACTTACTCTTCCCATTTCCTAGGATTGTTGTAAGGACTGTGAAAGACAATATGTGTGAACATACTTCATAAGCGATGTCAAGGAACATCATTATTTACAGTAGCCAAAAGGTGGATGCAAACTCAGGTGTCCATCCAAGATGAGTGAATCAATAGAATATGGTATATGCATACAACAGAAAATTATTCAGTCTTGAAAGGAAATTCTGACACATCCTACCATATGGACAAATGTTGAAGAAACTGTGTAAGTGAGATGTATCAGTCACTAAAGGACAAACATTGTATAATTCCACTTCCATAAGGGAATGGTGGAAGATAGAAACGGGAGTTATTGTTTAGTGGGTATAAAATTCCAGTTTGGGTAAGTGAGAAGAGTTATGGAAACAGATGGTGGTAATAGCTGTACAACAATGTGAATGTATTTACTGCCATTGAAATACCAGTGAAAAATGGATATGACAGCAAATTTTGTTATCTGTATTGGTTTACCTGTAAGAACTTGCTTTCTTTTGTCCAGTTTATTTAAAGTAGTGAAAGCTACATCTCCCCTCTTGCAGGTTTATGTTGGTATGAATACTATTTAAGACACTGGAGCAGGTCAAAGACTGAGCAAACACTACAGTTCTCTTTAATTTCTGCTTTGGCAGTTTAGGGGGAAAATCATTAAAACTACACTTCACAAATTTCATCAGGAGAAATCCAAGTGACACGATTATTTTTAAACAATAGTCTTAGTGGCCATGTCTTCCCATCTGTGAGAGGATCTGTCATTTACTTATAGAAAACATCTAGGAGGCTGAGTGTCAAGCATCAGAGGGTAGAATTCCTCCAGTCCCAAAGAGCAGAGTTACTGCAGCCAGCAGTGGCCTGATGCACTTCCTGTGGGGGTGGGTGAGAGCCTCAGACAATAGGGTGGATTTCCTGCATGATGAACGTAGAGGGGGATGGAACAGCCACTTCCACTCAGTTCTCCTGCTGAAGGGCTAAGAGTTTCCCCCAGCTGGGTCAGATCCCAGGGACTAGCGTTATGTACCCATTGCTCAACACAAAGCTGGCTTATTGGCTGCTCATCTCTGTGTACAAGACAAAAAGTCTTAACTCCCCCACCAGCTGGTAGCATTTACTTGAGGAGAGTGCTACAAGACCAAGAGAGCCCCACAACTGTGTAAGCAGTCATGCTGGCTTATGTTCTGAGGAGAGGAATTGGGGAGGCTCCACATAAGAATCAGAAATTTACATCATGTAGGAACTTTGGGATGATCTGGCCTAATTACTTTATTTATAAGAACTCAAAATTCCAGAGAAGTCCCCAGGGCTGAAACACAGGCTTGAATCCAAAATCTAAGTGCCCTAATGGCAAACCAGGTGCTGCCTAAGGGGTTCATGAATTGACTTTAACAGATGGATGACTTTCCTAATAGGGTATGAAAATTTTTTATGCCTACATAGTTTTGCCTAGGAAAAAGCAAGAGAGTTCCAGAAAAACATCTACTTCTGCTTTACTGACTATGCCAAAGCCTTTGACTGTGTGGATCACAACAAACAGTGGAAAATTCTTCAAGAGATGGGAACACCAGACCACCTGACCTGCCTCCTGAGAAATCTGTATGCAGGTCAAGAAGCAACAGTTAGAACTGGACATGGAACAAGAGACTGGTTCCAAATAGGGAAAGGAGTACGTCAAACTAGTATATTATCATACTGCTTATTTAACTTATATGCAGAGTACATCAGGAGAAATGCTGGGCTGNCAGAGGATGAGATGGCTGGATGGCATCACCGACTCGATGGACATGAGTTTGGGTAGACTCTGGGAGTTGGTGATGGAGAGGGAGGCCTGGCGTGCTGTGGTTCATGGGGTCGTAAAGAGTCAGACACAACTGAGCTATTGAACTGATTGTTTCTTTCATTTCTTTTTCACTTATTTCTTCTCTGATCTGACCCGTGAGATGAATTCAGATTTCAGACATGTTCTGTTTGAAACGTGTATTACTAAAGAAGGAAATGAGAAAATTTTTAAGAAGTCAGGAAATCATGCAGAAAAATCTGGGTTTCTAGATTCTCTTTTAAAAAAAAAATCAGACAACTGATTTAAAAAAAAAATCAGATCAAAATGGGTCAGTTCATTTGGATGGCAAGAGTTGGCCCAAGCTAGTAGAGAGCACCCCCACAGGATAGCTTGCTACAATCCCCACTACGCTGTAATGTCCTCTGGTGCTGAAACTGAGTTTTAGTTGCATTTTTCATTGTGTTTTAATAGTGGTATGTTGGGAAATGCATATAAATCTCTAAAAATAAAAAGGATCTAATGTGTAGAATTTTTTGATTTCAATATTGTAAATATTTCTACCATTCCACCATGGCTAATTTTAAACTACCAATGTGACTTCACTGAATAAAGAGTTGGGAAAAGAAGCATACACTGAGCTCTCACGAGTTAGAGTGGACTCCAGCACACCACTGGCTTTTACTGCTATTTTTCTTATCGCAGGACATTTCACTCAATTAATTACCTATACATCTAACCTTAGTGTTCATCTTCCTTTTCATAGTAGAATGACTGTCAAAGGCCTGGCAGGAATAGAATCTGGGACTACCTGATTTTGAACTCTGGACTTTCTACTACTTCACAGCTGCCCACTGTTAAAAGTGTGTTGGGGTCCTCCCCGATTCAAGCTCTGATGAGAAAGACACAGTCTGTATCTGAAAGGCAAGACAGATCTCAAAGGAGTAGATAGTGTTTGCTGATACTTACTTCAGGGACAGCAACTTGACCAATATTCTGTTTCCCAGATGTTCCTTGGGACATTCTGGTACCGGACGTATTTCCACAGCATCCTCCTATTATTAATCGCATTGTAAAAGAAATCAGTAGTGAATTCCCATGAAACCAGTAGTGAAGTAATCAGCTGCAGTTAACCAAGGGAAAGGAAGACTGCTATCTACCATGGAAGACAATCTGCATTTGCTTTATTTCTAATCACAGAATAATACATCAACTTTTATAAGAGTTTATTATCCAATCTCCATGCTTCAAAGTCAGCATTTACAGCAAATATTTTTCTCCTTTTAGACAACCAAACATTTAAGACAAAGAGACCAAAAGAGGAAGGAAGGAAATGTGAACATAGATAAGGCTTAGTAACATCCACCAGATGGCATTGCAAAATCTTATACCTATTGTTGACTTTTTTTTTTGCTGGCTCCAAGGACACAATCAGAATATTTCTCCTGCCGAGGGCTTTATTAGTAAATATGTGAGTTTCAGACTTGAGATTTGAGTCAGAAATTTTCACCTAAAACCCTAAAATTGTAAACCACTAATACTGTAATACAGTGGCTTTCTTGGTTCACAGTTTCCTTAAACAGATGATAGAGATTTGGGGCTGAATTTATAGGTTCTAAATAGACATGTCCAGCTAGAACTTGCTGAAGTCCTAAGAATCGAAAAGCTTAGTAATGACACTTTAAGAGATATGTCTGTCTATTTCACTACATAGGGACCAAAGACTTAAGGGAAAGTATCAAGTAAACATACAGCTGATTCACTTTGCTATATAGCAAAAACTAATTTTTTAAGTTTCTGTGAAGCACCTATACTCCATTGTGAAGCACCTATACTCCAAGAAAAATTAATTAAAAAATTCAAATGTGAACTATCACAGTATCTTAATTATAGTTATGGATGCAAAAGACTGACAGTGCAAGTTGTCCTGAGAACTTTAATTCCCGCTCTTGTAGTAGGTACAGAAACTCTGATGAATGGTCTGCAGCTCACAAGTGTCCAACGAATAGGGCCATGTCTAATTATATTTTTAAATTTATTCTTAATTGGAGGATAATTGTTTTACAGTGTTGTGTTGGTTTCTGCCTTATGACAAGAAGCTGTTATAGTATACATAAGTCCCCTCCTTCTGGGACCTCTCTCCCACCCCCCTACCCCATCTCTCTAGTTCATCACAGAGCACCAAGTTGAGCTCCCTGTGATATACAGCGACTTCCCACTAGCTATCTATTGTACCTATGGTAATGTATATGCTTCAGTGCTACTCTCTCTCAATTCCTGGGCTATAAATGTCATCCTGAATACCCGACAGCAACCAGAAGAATTTTTTAAAATAGCAATAGAATCATCTTATTAAATCTGTGCCCAGTTTGGTGGAACAGTCCCAGGTGTAAACTCACCACCACTCTAACTTTCAATTCCCCTTTGTGTTAAACAGTTTGGTGGGTAGAACTGCTGAGTTGTCTCACAGGAGGTGCTGTTCTGATGCCCACACTGAGGTGAAGGCCCTCAGAGCAAGCTGGAACTTTCAGGGTGATCAGGACAGACACATCTGAAAGGGAAGGGGCCCCCTATTGGAAAACAGCTTCACTGTAAAAATACTCTGCTTTTGGTCTGGATTCAAAACTTTGGTATACTTTTAAAAGGCTCTTCATTTGGAAAATTGTAAGCATATACAAAAGTAGAGAAAACACTGTAATGGATAATATGTAATCATCACCTAGCTTCAACAATTTTGACTTATGGGCAATTTGGTCTCATCTCTGGGTCAGGAAGGTCCCCCAAAGGAGGGCATGGCAGCCCACTCCAGTGTTCTTGCCTGGGGAATCCCATGGACAGAGGAGACTGGTGAGCTATAGTCCATGGGGTCTCAAAGAGTTGGACAGGACTGAAGTAGCTTAACACAGCACACAGCATGTGCCCTCACTTACTGCTCCCCCACTCAATGCTGGATTGCTCAGAACAAGACCCCAGAGATCATGTAATTTCATCAGTGAGTATTTCAGTAGAGACCTCCAAAAGATAAGGACTTTTAAAAACATATACTATAATGCTACTATTAATTTTTAAAAATTAATAATAATTTCCTATTTTCATGACATATGTAGTCAGCTCCAAACTTCCCCAACTGCTGTCTTTTTTTATAGTTAGTTCATTAATTCAGGTTCCAAACAAGGTCTATATGTTCATATGTTTCCCAAGTCTTCTCTAAACTATGTGAATTTCTTGCACTTTTACAGTTATCTGAAATAAAAATGAATTGCCAATGATGCAGAAGAGGAAATATGAAGTTGTGTACACCTCTTGTTTTCCTCTTCCTGGGAGAAAACAGATATTTACAGTGAGAAAGAGAGAGGGATCACAAGAGAGAAAGGGATAATATGAGAGATGAGGTTCTTCTGTCACCAGACCCAGTGGAACCTGAGGCCAACTCCACATCTCCCTGCTTGAGATTTCATTACAAGCCAGTAAGTCTCCACTTTTAAAAAAAATTTGTTTTTAGTTGGGTTCAATCACTTGCAAACTAGAAGAGTCCTAGTGCAAACTCCCCTATGATCTGGAGAATACTGCACCTTTCTTAGGGACCAGCACATGCCTTTTACAGAATCAGAGTGAATCAGGGAAAGAACTCACCTCGTAGAAGCTTGGTGGTTGAATTCTAATTTTGCCTCCCCTGTATACTCAGTCTTAATTGGATATAATAGTTCACCTCTCTTCTAATTTTCTTCACAAGGACATAAAGTAATAATTATGTAAAATAATTTCATGAATGTGTTGTCCAAAAAAAATCAGCATTTGTAGTCATTTCATAGTAGGTAAGAAAGTTACCCCTTTTTTCTACAGGACTTTCTTTGGAGAAAGTACAAGTTACAAGAGCAAATGTAATTTTTGTGTGTATAACTTCAGCACATTAAAGGGCCAGTATAGAAGCCTTCAAGTATTTTAGACTTTCTAATTTCCAAATATCCTATATACTAATCACAAAGAATCCTCTCCAGTTAGTAAAGCAGGCTGCATTAGGATGTATGCTAGATCATAACTTTTAGTCTCAACTGAGTTTCTGCACCATTTAAAGACCATAAAACACAATTCCTTCAAAATGGTCTATGATTCATCCTTGTAATCAAGCCTGGATATCCTCCCATTTAATCTAGTGAAGGAGATTTTAATGAGCTGATGTCTCACTGTAAGTCTCCTCCTCACCTCTTAACTGTTTCTTCTCTTATGGTATCTGTTTTGGGTCATTATTACCTATTGGCACCTCCATCAGGGAACTGGGAGGAAGAGGAATGTGAAGGTCGTATCAGTCAGATATAATATTTCTAGACAAATCTGGTAAAAACTTCTAAATCTATAGGTGGAAAGTGAAAAGTTACAAGATGTGATTGTTTATGTCATCTTTGGATTTCCATTAGGTATAGCCATATATAGATAAACAGTTAAACATAAAACTTGGAATTAATGTGTTATAATCCCTGTTCTATAATTCAATCTGCCTGCTGAATCCTGAACAAGTTATTTAACCTCTCTGATTCTTACTTTGCAATATGAAGAATGGAGATGATAGCAGTGTCCATATTATTCATATTTAATCTTCCTCATTCAGAAGAGGATTTGAGCCCTCTGACAATTAAAAATGAGGATTTGAGGCCACTGCAAAAAAAATAAATAGATGACAAAACCAAGGTGGTTGGAAAATATGGATGAGAAAAAAATAAAGCTGAAGCGAATTCAGGACACTAGTAAGTAAGCCACCAGACTTGGTAGTGTGTGTGCGCAGTTGCTAAGTTGTATCTGACTCTTTGTGACCCCAAGGACGGTAGCCCGCCAGGTTCCTCTGTCCATTGGATTCTCCAGGCAAGAATATTGGAGGGGATTGCCATGCCCTCCTCCAGGGGATCTTCTTGACTCACAGATCAGACCTACGCCTCCTGAATTGCAGGTAGATTCTCCACCACGGGGCCACCAGGGTATGACTGATCAGTAATTTGCTCTGCTGTTACATGGGCTTGCCTTACTGAAAAACACAGCCCAGAAATCACACAATTAAGCATCCTGACATTGCTACACAATAATGACAAGCAATAACATTTTCCTGGGAGGCTCTCTGTGTCTTCGCTGGGATTCCCCAGTGTGGAGACAGGCGCACCCACCTCATCCACTGACGGGTAAAGGGCAAAGAGCTCGGCCTGCCGATTGGTCCTCCGCGCCTCCTCATTCTGCTTCTCGAAGTCCTCAGCGCTCACTTGCTGTACAAGGTTTTCCAGCCTCGGGTCAGGCTGCAGGCTACGGAGGTCAAAGTCACAGGCAGTGTTGGGACCTTTCCCAGAGACATCACACAGCACGTTCAGGTGGCGGGGACCTGCCTGTAAGAAAAAGACATGGCTTCATGAGAGAGATCATGGGCTTCAAATGAGAACTAAAGGGCCTGGGAGGTCTCCAGATGGCTCCAACGGGGGGCTGCAGAATCAGGCCTCAAGGAGTCTCTGACAAGAATCACATCATAGCTTCCTGGACTGAATATCCTAAATTTACATGTCTCTCTCCTGCCTGGAAGCAGGTGATTAACTCATCAGATATAGATACACCCGTTCTTGAGGAAAAGTTTGACAATAGTACTGTAGTGCTTTAGTTTGAGGGGCTGTTCTTTTCTGGAGATTGGCAGCCAAGCCTCCTATGAACCATATACATGTCTCGTGCTTAAGCATAACTGGAATAAGGTGTTAAAAAAAAGGGGGTGGGGGGGCAGAGACTGGACTGGGGAATAAAGAGACCTCATGCTAATCTCAACTCCAGAACTTGGCTTTCAAAACTGGAAAATAAGATGATCTGTGAGGAGCTTTCCAAATTAAACTTTATATAAACTCCAAAGCATGTTTCCAAAGACAGAAATGTGGGCATGGGAACTCTTTCCTACAGGACTTTAGTAACAGTTACAGGAATAAGCACCAGAGGGGGGAGAAAAGCACTTGCTATTTCAGCAGTATTCACTCAGTTGCAGCATGCTTGAAAAAATTTCCGTCAAAAAGAGGATGCTTTATTCCATTAGAAATGTCTTGGAAATTGCAAACTGGATTCCTAACTTGAGACCTGGCAAAAAATATAAAACCAAAAGCAACAATATGTTGTAAGAACATAGAGAGATCTATTACACGTATCTGTAAGATATATGGTAAAATGTTATTCTCAAAGTACTATTAAATGGACATACTACTGTGCAATAACTCTATAAAACAGCTTTGGTTCTATGCAGCAATGAAGACCCCATACCGCCAAAAATAAACAAATAAATAAAATTATTAAAAACAATTTTTTGGTGACATCTGTCTACTTCATAAAAGCCCTGCTCTCCTAGGTCATAAATTTTATCTAAACTGAATGTATTAACAATCACATTCACACACAATATTAACCAATATTAATATCAGTTATTAAAATTTTTGTTCATCTTAGTATTTGTAAGATTCTTGGGAAAATTAATTGGGTTACCCAAGACTCTTTACAAGGATCAACATCTGTGTCTGTCTCCAGAATTTATTTAGAGGCCACAACTGGACAAGTAAACAAAGGTGTGGGGACAAGAGTATCTCTGCAACACTGTTTACAGTAACAAAATAATAAAAACAACTTAAGCATCCCCCCAAAAAAGAAAGTTTTGAGATTAAGAGATTTTGGAACTTTCTTACAATAGAATGTTACTCAGCCTTTAAATAAAAAGAAGAACATGCTGTCACTAGAAGAGAAAGATGATCAAGGTATCTTTTCTTGTTAATAAGAAAAAGGAAGTTAAATAATATCATATAATCAAATTTTTATGAAATATTTGTACTATGGAGTCATATCATATATACATGTGTGTGTGTGTGTTCTGGCGATCTGTTTCACACTTGATAATACACATGTTTCAATGCTATTCTCTCAGATCATCTCACCCTCGCCTCCTTGAAGCCACCCTTTATACTCTTCTCTGTGATACTGGGTCTGCGTTGAGCAAATCCTGCTTCTGCTTTGCTATTTCTCCCTTTAGGTTCTGCATGGCTGGGGGAGGGAGAAGGGACTGGCTGCTTCCTCTCTGCCTGCAGTTCTTCTCATCTTGGTAGTGGCAGTTGCTTCTAGTTTTCTCTTTCTTCCAGCACTTCCAGAAAAACCATCATCTTACCTTCCTTGGAGGTACCAGCATCAGCTGGGCAATTCTTTCTCCTGGGAGGTCTGAGTCCAGACTCTCAGCCCTTGTGAGATCTTTCCCCTAATGACACTAGGCTATGCCCCCTCCTCAGGTATTTGAGTCCCAGCTCTGAGGCCTCTCTTCTGAGCTTGTAGGTTCCGATAACTTCAAGCTCCTCCAACTAGACCCATGGTTCTCAAACACAGTCCTGGGACTAGCAGTATCAGCATTTCCTAGGGAACGCTCATGAGAAATGCAAATTCTCAAGTCCCTACTCCAGCTGCAGTGAAAGAGAAACTCTGGAGTGGGGCCAGCAATCTGTGTTCAAACAAGCCCTTCAGGGGGATTCCAGTGACACTTAGGTTTGATACTCACTGCCACAGACCCCAGCCCTAGAGTGCTGTGCTATTCCTTGTAGTTACAATTTCTGTAAGACTTCAATTTTCCTTTTTGGTTCTCTCAGTCCTCAAAAATACGTTTGACTAATTCCCTATGTAACATTTCTTCAGAGGAAATATCTAGTGTGGTTTCTGTCTGACTGAAATAAGGGAAGAACTTAGTTGGTCATCTACATGATGAAAGCAGAATTTAGTTAAAATTACCAATGAAAACCCCCTGAAATTTCCCATAGAGGATGGCATACAGATATTCCACGTTTCAGTAAGCCCACCAGATTCAGCTCCAGAATTGATGCCTGATTCCTCTGCAGAGATAAGTAGTCAGCCTGGCTGTAGTTTGAAATAGGTACTATCTAAAACCTCTAGTCATATTCAGCATGGTGAGATGCTTGTGTTATGAGGGCACCTGAAAGCTGAAAACTATACTGGTTTAGAAGTCCTGTGCAAACTTGGACACATTTCTTCCTCTATGCTTTATTTTTTTTAACCTATATAATGGACAGACTGGACCAGAGCTCTGGCTTTTAAAATCTTTTGTAAATTGTGGTAAGTACACATGTAATATAAAATTTTCATCATTTTTTAGTGTACAGCTCAGTAATGTTAAGTACATTTATATTGTTGTGCAAACAGTCTCCAGAGCTCTTCGTTTTGTAAAACAGAAACTCTATACTTACTAAACAAGAACTCCTCATTCCTACCTCTCCGCAGCCTCTGACAACTACCACTTTAACTTTATACATCTATGAATCTGATTATTCCAGGTACCTCATATAAATGGAATCATACAGTATTGATTCTTTTGTAACTGGCTTATTTCACTTAGTGTAACATCTGCAAGGTTCATCCATGTTGTAGAATGTGTGTCAGAATTTCCCCCCTTTTTAAGGCTGAATAACTACTCCACTGTGACTTCCCAAGTGGTGCTAGGGTAAAGAACTTGCCTGCCAATGCAGGAGACCTAAGTAATGGGGGTTCAATCCCTGGATTGGGAAGATCTCCTGGAGGAGGGCATGGCACCCACTCCAATGTTCTTGCCTGGAAAATCCCACGGACAGAGGAACCTGGTGGGCTACAGTCCATGGGGTCACAAAGAGTTGAACATGACAGAAGCCACTTAGTGCGCGCGCGCACACACACACACACACACATAATGGGGGTTCAATCCCTGGATTGGGAAGATCTCCTGGAGGAGGGCATGGCACCCACTCCAATGTTCTTGCCTGGAAAATCCCACAGACAGAGGAACCTGGTGGGCTACAGTCCATGGGGTCACAAAGAGTTGAACATGACAGAAGCCACTTAGTGTGTGCGCGCGCACACACACACACACACACACACACACACACAATACTCCACCGTATGTATATGCCACATTTAGTTTATATCTTCATCTGTCCATGGACACTTGATTGTTTCTACCTTTTGGCTACTGTGAATAATGCTGCTATGAAAACAGGTGTATGGAGTACTGACTTTTAAATTGTAACTACTTTGTAACAGTAATAATAATAACAGCATTCACTGGACACAAAGTGTGAGCTGGCACTGTCTTAAATGCTTCACACATATTAACTCATTTAATACTCAAACAACTTTACCAGTTGTGTACTTTTATCATCCTTGTTTTCCAGGAGAGGAAACTGAAGACCAGAGAGTTGAGTTATCCTGTCTGAGGTTATAGAGTAGGTGTATGGTAGAATCACACAGAGGGCCAGGCAGTCTGCCCCAGGATGGAGCTTTCAATCACACTGCAGGCTGCCTGAGGCATGGGGGCACCCCTGAGTCTCTGCCGGGATCATTACAGGGATGGGCCCAAATCCCCCCCAAGTTAGAGCCCCTCCACTTTTATCTACTTTTATTTGAACACCAATTTCTATAGCTACAAACAAGTGTGAAAAAAATATCACTGACTAAATGGTAGAGCTCCTTCTATTCTCATATTCTATGAGTCTAGCCTTTTTATTAGTTTTTAAAAAAATCAACAGCATGCCATGGCAGAACAGTCTAGTAACCTGGCAACCGTGTTTGTTGATAGGAAATACCTGAGCGCTGGGTTCACTGCACTCCAAGGTTTCTGACTCAAACGTCTGTTTCTGAAGCGTCCTGTGAAAATCTTTTCTGGATCCAGTCTTTTTAAAGCTGCAAATCTCTGAACTTCCTTGGTTCCTTTCATTGTTGTTATTAAATAAGAGAGAGAAGGAGAGAGGGAGAGAGAGAGAGAGAGGCAAAATCATTAGTCTAAAAATAAAAGTAATGGCTTAAGCGCAGACATGGTTCTGAAAGATCCTGCAAAGACAGGACCAATTGTAATTCTTCACATCTAATTGTGCACCAGGCCTAACACAAGGCTCTGTTGTAAAGAGATACAAACTTGCCTCCTCGCTGGCTCATTATTAAAGGCAAGAGTGGCCTGGGAAAATGCCACTTCAGAGGTGCGGTCATTTCAGCTGTGGGGCATTTGGCTCCAAGCTGAAGCTGAACTATGACCCCAGTGGAAGAGGCTGGAATAAATCTAGCAAAGTGCAGAAGCAGGGAATAAAGGTCATTTGAAGATGAAAACAGAGGAAAACATCTAATCTTCAAATTAATGTTCTTAGTAAAGAATAAAAAAGGCAGGATGTGGTTAAGAAAAATAGAATTAAATGATCTATGTACTGAAAATCTTTGCTACCATTCTCAGCCACTACTCCATGCATGTCATTAAAGTTGTTTTAATAAGTGTTGCAAATATTATATGATATCACTTATATATGGAATCTAAAATATAATACAAATGAATCTATATACAAAACAGAAACAGATTCACAGGCATAGAAAAACAAACATAGTTACTAAAGGCGAAAGGGGGAAGGAATAAATTAGGGGTATGGGGTTAACAAACTACTACATATAAAATAGATAAGCAACAAGGATTTACTGTATAGCACAGGAAACTGTATTTAATATCTTAAAATCACCTATGATGAAAAATATTCTGAAACATACATCTATAAATATATACATATATAACTAAATTACTTTGTTATATACTTGAAGCTAACACACCATTGTAAATCAACTACACTTCAACTTTTTTACGAATGTGTTGCTATGGAAAGGGTTTAATGTAATGTCTAGCACTGTCATTGGAGAAAGAAGTTAGACCATTACAAAAAAGGCAACAGATACAAGTTGTCAAATAATAACTATAGAAACCAACATGTGCATTCCCTATTTTTCTGACTCAAAGCCTTCTTGGAAAACATGCTGCAAACTCAACCACACAAACATGCACCTGTCTTGTTTGATTTCCCACACTATTAGAAAACCATTGAGGAAGCTGGTGAAGGGATGTAAAACGAGGTTAGGATTTATTACGCAGATCAAACAGAAGACAGACAAAGCAGGAAATGTAAGAGAGCTACTAGCAATAATCCAAATACAGTTTATAACTCTTTGGGAGGGGTGAAATGTTGGGTTATGCACAGGGGCACAGAGCAAGTATTCAATACTAAGTGAAAGGAGTCAGGAAAAAAATAAAAAGATAACTGCATGATTCCATTTACATGACATTCTGGAAAAGGAAAAGCTATAGAGACAGAAAAGAGATCAGTGGCTGCCAGAGTCTGGGGGTTAAGACAGTCACCGCGAGAGGCCTGGGGCAATTTAGGGGGGCGGGTACTGGGACTGTTCTGTGTCTTGATTGTAATAGTGGTTACACAACTGTATGCATTTGTCAAAACTCACAGAACTGTAATCTAAAAAGCATGAATTACAATTACCTCAAAATCAATGGAGAGAAGTTTAGGATTATGCCTGACATTGATTAGGATACTGTTTACACTTAATACTCATTAAACATAAGGTCTGATATTTTGCTATGGTTTATTATATTGCTTTACAGAATGATGGGTTTTGTTGAGCAGGAGTAAATGGATTCAAGTCCTGGCTCCACAGTTTACAAGCTGTATGACCTAGGGCAAATTACTCTATTTTTTTGTGTCTCAATTTTGTTATCAGAATAATAGGAATTAAACTAATACCTACTTCATCAGTTCTATTGCATGCAATAAACACATTCACATATGTAAAATAGAAAATTTCCTGACTTATGGCAATAATTCAATAAATATCTGCAACTACTTGATGATGTTTATTAAATGGTATTAGAGAACATCATTCAATTGTCCCTGTCAACTGACAAAGAATCTAAACTAGACCAATAAATAAGATATGATAAGCAAAGGGAAAAAAGGGTACAACTCAGTGTTGTTGAAGATTTCCTTTAACATAGTGGTCCATGGTAGATTTTACATGATAGGCACTACAATGCATATATTCATGGGATAAAGATAAGATTTGAAAAATCTTAAGAATTGTATTTTAGGGCTATTCTAGTTCCAATTCAACCAATCCAAAATATCCTTTTCATGTGAAATAAGGTCTTCTGAGGACTTCAGAAAAAGCACTTATATCAGTATGTCAGAGGAATGAACCCAAAATTTTACCTCATGTTTTAAGGCATCACAGGTAAAAAACTACTTTTCTCTGGAGGACCATACCTAATGAAGCCATTTAGTTTTCTATGGATATGCCTTTGCTATCCATAACCATACAGTCAAACACTGATTTAGTTGCTCTTTTATTCCTCAATTATCTCCTTGCTGATATTACATTTCTCTGTAATATCTAGGGATAGTCTTTTATGTCCTTGCTATCTATGATAATGGCTTTGAATCCCACTTAGGGGGCAGGGGAGTGGAGTAATGGCCATTTGTGTTCCTTCCCACTCTCATAATGCTATAGGACATTTGCCACTCAGGTTCTATAATTGAGACTTTTAAATCAGACAAATAGTGTGTTTGTGAAGGATAGGGGAAAATTCTAGATTTTTAATGTATTAGGGAAAGATGAAACTGCACAGAAACACAAAATTCATGGTTTCCTTTTGAGAGAAATATATTTTCCTACTTGAAATGTTTGTCTGTGTTACTTAGACTGGAATTATGCCTTGAATAATTCCATTCTAACTTTTTACTGTCTATAGCACAAAGTTTACTGTCTCTGCTCTAAAAATCATGCTTTTTCTCTTCATGACTTTTGAAAATGATCATTAAAATCTAATGAATAGACAGTGCCATGGTTGCATGTTTATCTCATCTTATTTCCATACATTTTGATAATTTTGTATAGACTGCTATTTACTGCCATCCTTTGGGTAACAGTAAATATTTTAATCATTATTTCCTCTGTAATTTTCTTTAACAAACTAAAGAGAGAATAACTTAGGAATGTGTTTGGTGTCTTGGTGGAGAGTGGAGCTCTCAAGTAATTAAACTTGTTTACATGCTATTTATTCTTGGTCTATTATCCACAGTGAAACATTTGATGAGTGTTATGAGCAGCATCATAAAAGCCCTTAGACTTTGTCTTTCATCCCGGGTGATTAAGGTAATTCTGAAGGAAGGTCATGCTCAAGGAGAGCTGGGATATCAAGGAAAGGGGTATCATCTGTTTTATTACTCCATATTTTACTCCCAGTGAACTGGTAAACAATTATAATTCAAACACATCAGTGCATATAATTCAGTTACTCCCAAAACACCATAAAAATGTCTCCCTGATCAATAATTGCTTATTATGACACGCATTTCTTATGCTGGCTGTCAAGGTGCTTAGCTATTTGCTTTCTAAAAGTATGGAAAGCAATCCAGGCTCATCAGCCCCTACAGTTACAAACAGCAATCCAGCTGTGGAAATCACTGAGCCACTCTTGACCTGCTATGCGCAGATTCCCCATCCCCACAAATCCACTCCCACGAAAGCCCAATTCACAGGCCAGCCCTTCACCCGCCTTCCCTGACCTGGCCAGAATTAACTGCTTCCTTCTGTGAATTTTCAAAGCCTGTTGCTTGGACTTCTCCTACAAGCTTCCATCATGCTCTATATTACAGTCTAATTACTTGTCTAAATTTTCACCTCCCCTGCTAAACAAGTGCTCTTCCTCACTAGACTATGACTTCGCCAAAGACAGAGATTCCTTTGAGCTAGGATTCCTGTGTATTCCTCTTTCTATCCTCCTTGATGCCTTATTCTCAGGAGGTATTTGTTGAATGGGAGAACAAATGAAACTCTAACAAGCAAATAGTCATATCATACTCCTCTCACACAAGGGTTTTCAAATCTCCCAGACCCACCATCGTCTTTCTCTATGACAAATATTTAATAATGCCATCTTTACAACTCAACTTTCTTATTTTTATGTCAATAAAAATGTCCCAGCTGTTATTTATTGAGAAATAAAAGAAACATAGCACATAAAGCAGCATGTGTGTAAATATGCAAATGCTTGGACACAACTGCACCAGAGAATATAGTGAAACACCTGTCTGCACCTGTGGGAAGAGGCGTTGTAAATGAACACCTACAAAACCAACACACGCATGCTGTGTGGGTGCACAAGCACCACCAAGCAGCACTGCTGGCAGTAATGCGATTTTCCAAGATGGGGGGAAACTCTTGGAGAGCTCTAACCAGCATAAAGCTTAACTTCCCCTATGTTTACAGGAAAGCTGTTTCCTTGGAAAATTCAGTCCAAAAGTATTTGGAAGAAGGCATACAGGCTTGGCTCAGATACGTACAGACTGGATTTTCACAACCCTCAATGTCCAGAGGACATGTGATTGTTGTGTTGGATACTGAATTTGGGACAATCCTTCATTGTGTGTGATGCCCAATGCACGTCAGGGTGTGAAAGGCAGTAGTCCACCCCAGTCATTGAGATGATAAAAAACAGAAACCTTAACTACCCTCATTGAGACCCACTGCTACTAGGACATCAGAAAACTGGAATTTCCAATTCCAATTTAAATCATAAGCTTTAGCAACATGTCTGGGAAAGGAAATCCACAAAGACTTCCTGGAAGCGGTGAAATGGAACAAGTTTAACCAGGAAAACAGCTACATGCAGGTGTTTAATTGTTTGGGGGAGAATTCTAGTGGTGGAATCCTAAAGTAAATGCTTTTCAGAGTTCTACTTTTGGTTTTCGTAAGAAAGTAAATGTCCCATATAGAAATAACATAGTTTACCAAAAATAGGGATGTTAGGAGATTTCAAATTCAATGTATCCCCACAAATTAAGGGTATTTAGATCTATAGTACGTGCACTGGTATTGCATCTAATGGT